TATTCTTTGATATATGTAATCATCAGTGTCCTCGTTTTGTTTCTCTAGAGAACCCTGCCTAACACACCTGGTTACTTCAAGACTTCCTCCATCCTGTAGGCCTCAGCCAGAAAGCCAAGTCTTCCAGGAAACCTAGGGCCCCCAAAGCATAGGTGCCTCGTTGGTGGTCCGTTTTAGGGTGCAAAAGAGACCCCATCTCAAATATAATTTAAGGAGAACATTTATTAAGTCTTAAGAGAGAGGATGCCAACACAAGGACACAGCACATCATCAGGATGAGGGAGGCCATTAGCACGAGGTCTAAATGGTGTCCACAGATTCACACGCACAACTGCTTACGTAAGGCATGGGACACAAAGATAACTGTCACAAATTCATGATGGGTGGCAGATCAATACATCACAGTTATGGAGGAACTTCAGGAGCAGCATCAGGACCGTGACGGGGACGCTTAGCTTATGTCAGACAGAAGGGGTTACAAGACTGGTCCTGCCCACCAAGGCAATCAGTCAGGGCACAACTGACAGACCTTGCCTCGTGACTCTGCAGTCCCCTCCCTCAAAGACACACCCCGGCAAGCCCCTAGCAGAGACTGCCCCTCCCTGGCTGGATGGAGAAGGGTGGAGGTAATCCATTCTCCAAGGGCACTCTGCCTGAGGGCAAGATGATCCACATCCTTAGTTAATGTTCAGAAAGACTTCCATGGAAGCGTGACCTATCTGGGGGTACCACCCTGCACATGGATGTTGAATGGGCAGAGCTATCCACAGTCTTTTTTTTTTAGTTTTCAGTTTTTTTATTTTTTTAATTATTTGATTGGGGGCTCGTACAATTCTTATCACAATCCATACAGCCATTCGTTGTGTCAAGCACATATGTACATTCGCTGCCCTCATCATTCTCAAAACATTTTGCCTTCTACTCTAGCCCCTAATATCAGCTGCCCATTTCCCCCTCCTTCCCTACACCCCTCCCTCATGAACCCTCCATAATTCACTAATCATTATTGTTTTGTCATAAGTTACACTGTCCAACGTCTC